TCCCCAGACAAAAGAAACTCATACAGCAGCAGTGGTGTATAAAGTACCTGAAAGCCATACTCAAGTAAAAGAACAGATATCTTACCAGGAAATGACTTTGGTAGAAGCTGAAATCACCGTTTAGAATATTACTTGAGTAAAAGTCTTAAAGTATGTGATATTTATTCTACTTAAGTACGAAAAGTATTTTTTCATTAAACATACTTAAGTATTGAAAGTAAAAGTACAAGTAAATGCAAAATGGAAAAGAAGCAAATAAATACATATAAAAAAAAATTCTAACACAGCTTGAGTAGCAAGATTGTGTTCAGTTTCAACTCTTTCTTACATTTCACAAGTTCACACTTACATATAACTAGCTGAAGTATGGTAATGCATATTTGGCGTGCTGTCCGGGGAAGGGCTCCGAGCTCGGGAATGGTCCTAACCTAGAGTACCCCCCCGTATAAGTGTAGTATGAACTCAAAGTGAGGAGATGGGGCGGATGAGGGATGCTGATAAACTGTCAATGGATAGAGGTAAGTCAGCTGTATTTATAGCATGGTGTTGATTAACTTGAGTGCGCTCCTCTTGTGTTCCCCCCGTATAAGTGTAGTATGAACTCGAAGTGAGGAGATGGGGCGGAGGAGGGATGCTGATAAACCGTCAATGGATAGAGGTAAGTCAGCTGTATTTATGCCATGGTGTTGATTAACTTGAGTGCTCTCCACCTGTGTTAATTAGGCGAAGTATCTGACGCGCTCCTTCCAAACCTTGTTAATAAAACATAATTTCAGTTTTAGAGTTCATGCTTACATATAATTAGCTGAAGTATGGTAATGCATATTTGGCGTGCTGTCCGGGGAAGGGCTCCGAGCTCGGGAATGGCCCGAACCTAGAGTACCCCCCAAAAAGCAATTGAGCAAAGGGCAGCGGCCAGACTAAGAACCCACCGCTCCCCCCCGCCCCCAAAATAAGCACTGAGATCTGGCGGGGGCTGATGTTTGAGAAGTCGCCTGGTTGGCAGGCCGGAAGAGCCTACGTACTCCGGTGGGAGCGACTTATGCGTTGGAAGGGTAGGCCATACCGGCTGCTGGTATTGGACTACGTGGTTTGGGTCGCCCAGTCTGGAGGGCTCGAGCCGATGCTCAACGGGAACAGCTCACAGCGTTGGAACGGGTGAGCCCTACCGGCCGATGGGGGAGGAGCAGCGTGATTGTATAGCCCAACCAGGAAGGCCCGGGTTGCCTCAACTGGAACAGCTCGCGGTGTCGGCGTACGGGCCCTACTGGCTGACAAGCCCCTGCTAATCAGTGGGCAGAGGGCAAAATGGCTGACCGAGAGGGCCCATGAAGCCTCCGACTGGAGATCAAGACTCAGGACGACGGACGTGTGGTTCCTCTCGGTTTGGCAAGGTAAAAAGGCTTTGGGCCGACCGGCAAGGAGGACTCTCACGACATCCGACGGGAGACCAAGACTCACGGCATCAGATGGATAAGTCTTGCTTGCGGGCGGCAAGTATAGAAGCCCAACCGGGAGTACTCTCAGAATGGAAAAGGTAAGGTTGTGTGGCCAGGAGGCTCTCGCCGGCATCCGACGGGAGATCAAGACTCACAGCATCTGATGGGTAAGCCTTGCTGACCGTAGGATGGAAAAGATAAGGTTGTCTGGCTGGGAGGCTCTCGCCGGCATTCGACGGGAGATCAAGACTCACGGCATCTGATGGGTAAGCCTCGCCGACCGTAGGATGGAAAAGGTAAGGTTGTCTGGCTGGGAGGCTCTCGCCGGCATCTGATGGGAGATCAATACTCACAGCATTGAATGGGTAAGCCTCGCCGACCGTAGGATGGAAAAGGTAAGGTTGTCTGGCTGGGAGGCTCTCGCCGGCATCTGATGGGAGATCAATACTCACAGCATTGAATGGGTAAGCCTCGCCGACCGTAGGATGGAAAAGGTAAGGTTGTCTGGCTGGGAGGCTCTCGCCGGCATCTGACGGGAGATCAATACTCACGGTATCGGTCAGGTAAGTCTCGCTAGTAGTTGAAAGAACACATATTCACTTAACTGGGAGGGCTCTCGCAGCATCTAACGGGAGTTCAATACTTGTGGCGTTGGACGGGTAAGCTTCGCCGGTGGTCGGACTGAAAGGCCAAGATTTGCTTGACCAGACGGCTCTTGCGGCGTTCGACAGGAGTTCAATACTCATGGCACGGACGTGTAAGCATCACCGGTAGTTGAAGGAAGACATATTCACTCAACTGGGAAGGCTCTTACAGCATCTGACGGGAGTTCAATACTCACGGCATCAGGCGGGTAAGCTTCGCTGGTATTCTGACGGAAAGGCAAGGTTTGCTCAACCGGGAGGCTCTCGCAGCATCTGATGGGAATTCAATACTCACGGCATCAGATGGGTGAGCCTCGCCGGTAGTCGACGGGGAAACATATTTGCTGCAGCTTCTGTAAGTGAATTCAATGCTCAGAACGATTTGAGTTGTCTAAAAGGGTAGATGCTATGAGGATTACTTTGCGTAATTGTTTGATGAATCCAATAAGCTGCTTCT